ACACGCTATTTACCTCGGGTAACACCGCGCGATTATCGGGCTGTGGCAACGAGCCATCGTCATACTCTTCAAGATACGGGACCTCGAGTTATTTTACGACGTTTCAAGTGCCCAGGTTACATAAAGTCGAACACTATTGAACGTTCTGGCCGAATGGTTAAGACTCCTACTTCATATTCGGGATGACCAGGACAAATTTTGACTGAACATTCTTTCATTAATGATCGTATAAAATGTCTTGGTCTTAACGGTTCTAACAGCACGCGCTAAATTAGCTTGAAATGATCACAGCGTGATTTCAACCCCCCCCCCCCCCCACCGCACACTAATTCAGCCAGGCTGGTCCAGCGAAGCGTAGCGAATCGAACGGGCAAACGCTTTCCACATATGCACCTGGCGGGGGTCACGCTGTACATATCTGACGAGACAAATCCAGCAGGCTAGAAAACCCTGAAAATTCTTGTCAGTTTTCTACACTACACTACACTACAGTTGAAACGGCGTCGTTAAACAAGTACAGGTGTCCAGCGCCATCCAGTCTCTGAAAGGATTCTTGGGACAATCAGTGCTGGTACCGGGACGGTTAAATAGGTCATTCGCAGAGTCCCTGGTCCTGTTTGACTGCAGCGCGTATCCTGGCCCGAGACCGAAACAGCTGCTTGGATGCTCCATCCATCAACTCATCTGTTCCAGCTGGCAGTTGCAGTGAACTGGAGCATGCGACGCCAAATGGCTGATTTCTCCAGCAATTCCAGCTTTTCGCTTTACCGTACGTAATTGGCCACGTTACTTAGCAACAACAGTAGTTCGGATTACGGTGCTTATAAGACGCAATGTCGGGAACACATACAGTACCGCAAGACATCTAGGTCTACACATTAAAATAAAAGAAAAACATCGCGAGTCCTAAGGCAGGAACGTCAGATAATATTAAAGTTAAACCAATTCACCTCGTGGATGAACGTAATGCTTTTGGCTTTGTAATGCACGAGTAATTTTTTGCCATCACACAATATAGGATAATGCAAATCATGTAATTTTCAAGTTTTCCAAACTTCAAAAACTTAAAAATATCTCATCTCATTTCCTTGAACGTTTTAATAAATATTAATGTTGTGCAAAATTCAAATTTTTAAACTATTAAAAATGTTGGTATCTTCCAAAAATGTTAAAACAGAACATTTACTAACTTTAAGAACTTCGAAAAAATTTTACACTTTGAAAATATTTTATGGTATTACCTTATCTTCAATTTCTACCGAGCTCGGTGCGGTACGGTCGGGTACCCTCGTCAAAGGTGGGGACGGATCGGAATCTCTCAATTTTACAGCAGGTCAGTAGACGTGACGACAAATTATTTCAGACCATGAATCATCAGAACGTTCTTAAAGCAGCTACGGTTAGGACATTCGCATAGATTTAGACACGACAGATTTCGACAAGCGTCAACATTAACTACAATATTTATCATAGAGAATAGATGTGATACAAGACATACAAAATGTATTTAAGTTAAAAAACCACGTGGGAAGTAACCGATTTGAACTTTCACCACACAATTCACAGTACAAACTGAAATAAAATCACAATTTAAAGCGATTAGTGGGACTTTTACTCCTGTATCGTAGTGTTTAGACTCGCCCGCCCTACATACATGACGGAGAAGTTGCCGTCAAATCACGGCGCTTGCAGCAAGTGTCTGGCTGATGGGCATCGCACGTGACACTCAAAGCACTTCATAATAATGAAGACAGAAGCACGGTCGGTTGAAACTGGGAAATAAACTTGCCACGACTTGTAGAGCTCTTTAATATGCGTTGCAAGGCAAAGTAAATTTTTGTACATTTTAGTATGTAAAATTTTACGAACATATAAAAACGATTTTCTACAAAGCTCATATTTCACGCATGTTAAATGACCCGACCATCTCATACGTCTTGATTCAAAGATAGTAACAATTTTTGGAGAAAATTTAGAACAGTGGTAGCCAACATGTTATAAACCCAGACAATTGTAACTTAATCTAGTTTATAACAAAATTTAGGATCTCAGCACCTTGTTCCGGAACACAAAAGTTATCTATCTATTCCCTCCACTTAACTGCAGAATATAAGCTTGTTCCGTATAATCCCCGAGTCACGGGGAATGCCAAAGTTATTCTTCCTGGTTTAAAATCTCTTCTAACGTCCTGTTTTCCTTGGGGAAAGCATGTACTATGCGCTAAGCCATACTCGTTTTAAACTAGGACTTATACTTGTAACAACTCCAGAGAGAACTTGAGACACAGCATCTGATCAGTTTGCTGGGTCTCGCACGCCATCGACCGAGGCCACTGCTTGTGACGGCCAATGCGCGAGTCGAGACAAGGTTCACAAGAACGAGGTACGTGGAAGCACTCCTTTTGAAGCAAATAATTCCGCGGAGTTGGACAAAGCTGCGGGCCGTTCCAACACACTCACAAAGTGGCTCTCAATAAAGCGGTTCCTTTACAGGGCAAACGCCACTCCAAAAACCCTAACTTCAACCTCCACCCAGAAACCTAAGCTAACCTAACACGTGAGCTGTGATGTTGCTAAATCCTTCCTGGAAAATTCCAAGCCAACCTTATTAATTCATTACGCATAATTAACACATCACTAGACGCGTTTGGTGAAGCGTCATTTAGCCCTGGAGGAAACACGTTTCTGGACACCCCTTAACTCAGCATCGCATGTGACGTCAGAGATTCCGCCCCGGCCCCACCAGCGGAGGAAGGCATAATTGATCGTATAGTTAAATGTTATGACTGTGAAGACAGGAGACCTCGTCCGGTCATCGTGTCCAGCCTCACGGACACGATGCGTCTGACAAAACTGTTAAATAATCTACGAATTAACAAGGGGCGAGAGAAGCTCTCGAGGTCTGTCGGGCCATGTTCCAAGCTAATGCCTTCAGGGACCCAAGTAAGCTCTGCGGCCCAGTTTCAATGTGGAATACAAGAGCACAGGACATTGTTTAAACAGTAGATAGCTTTCTGCTTGTGTGGAAGCCAGCAACAGCTCACTGGTGGGTCACAGATTCTCACCATTTGCGTAACTTCATGGAGGACACGCCTCCTTCAGAATACCACACTCAGCTAGTCAAGAAATTCCATGTCACTTACGGAACACGTATGTTCATTACCGTGTTCACAAGAGCCCAAGACATCACTGGCCACGTGTAACATTTCGTTAACATGTTGGCTTTAAGGTGGGAAGTCAACATCCCCCCCCCGGCCGAACTCGAACCTGAAGGGCCATCCCTTGTCGGCAGTTAGCGATAACTTATTCAAGAGGTTTGCAGCCACCCTGAAATAACCCACACCTTGAGAAAGAGTCGCGGATGAATTAAAAGTGTTCGTCGATGTGGCAGAGTGGTGAGTGGTCTTCTGCGACCTTTCGGTCAGATCAGTAGGAAGAAAACATCCTAAGAAGTCAGAACGTCTCAACGACGCAGTTTGTTACTGGTCTCGTGACACGCTGTGCCGTGGGCGGAGCCCCCCCCCCACCCAACACCAACAACATATAACGACACGTGTTGCCCGAATACAAGTCGTAGTTCCAGTCCCTGAAAGCTCATTACATGAGATTAAGATAAATTAGTGTCCCAGATTCCCCATTAAGTACGTAGCGTTCATTACACGCGGCGTAGGGCATAACCGACCTTTTCAAGTAGATGTTTCGCGTAATGACATTCAAGAACAACACAAGACTGCAGTGTCCATACGAATAATCACATCACAGATTAGTCTGCCATGACATCGTTACTCAATAGATGCTAGTAGAAGATACGTGGAGGTAACCCCCGGTGACTTGCCTTAAGAGGAAAGCTTCATAAAAGCCCGCAAGTAGTCACAATCACACATAAGGACGGCCACGCGTACTTAAAGCTGAATATGGAGAGGAGACACAGAAATACTCTATGGAAGGTAACGTGTTATCGTCATGTAATGGAACTTCGGCTAACAAATGCATCGCGATGGAGGCAGCAAAGGTGCCTGAAACGTCAGTAAAAGTCTACCAAACTACAAGGCGCTGGAACCGAGTACACAGCCAACCTCATCCTCACGGCCGCGAGAAACTCAAATCCTACTTACTGCAAAAATTTATCTCCACTCTCCTGGTGTTTCTTATGGCGTTCTTGCATTAGTCTATACCCGATACCCGGAACGACTGAACCGGAGGCAACACCGAATTCTTTTGAGCGTATCCCTACACTACTTGAATTTGGCAGTACTATACGAGGGTGGGCCTCCTACTGACTTCATTTCCGCACTTGTTCGGCTGCGTTTTAAATGGAACAGACTGTACCAGACCACACATAGCAACAACCCAGAAGACTATTTACCGGGGGGTTTTTTAAACCATTTAAGACCAAGGGTCAACTTCACCCTTTCGTATCAACTCGTAGGACGTAGATCATTTCTGATAATTTATTAAAACACAACTTCAGTAACCTGAGGACGTGGACGAAGATGGCTCTCGAAACGTTGGTGTTTTATCGATTAAACCACGTGACACGACTGGTAGCCCGAGAATAATTAATTACTTAGTCGCCGTGAAAGCTTCAGATCATACATTATTAAAACTGCTTACTATCGTAAACAGGTAATTCTCTCCGACAAACTTAAATTTGTTATTTGTATTCACAGGGATTGTTTAATTAAGGAGGGGTAGTCATTTTAATACGGATTGCAACGATATTATATAAAAAAAAGACAGCAATCTTAAAGTTCATAATCTTCATAACAAAATCACCGCAAGTGGATTGTTTGAAACAGTTCAAATCTCGTGTTTTTGACTATGGTCAAATTCTTATTCTACTCGGATCACTAGATTCAAGTCTTCCACTTAGAAGACGCCAGTCTGTGCCAAGGCAATGCCATAGAGCGGTAAATACAGCGAGGACAATATCACGCCAGGATGCTAGCCCCGGAGTAGTATTGATTTTATCTCCGTCTTGAGTCTCGACGGCGCCGAGCAGCGAGTGCGAGGCCAGTGGCCTGCTGGTTGGCGCTGAAAAGCTCACTGCACATTTTACTCTTTGCCTACCCTGAGATTTGCGTGATTTTCCGCAGTCAGACACCTGTATATTGTAGAGGAAACAAACAATTTGTTTGGGACGTGCGCACTGCATCGACTACGCCGTGAAACGTCGAACACAGGCGGTCGAGGGCGAAGCAAGTCACTTTACCGACTGAACCAACGCAGATTCAATTACAGGGCCTTACCATGAACAAACAACTGTGCTTTTCGCACAACCTGTCGACTTTCGAGGTTAATTGCATTTCTTTTATGACAGGGAATTTCCTTCTCAGATAAATTTCAGGAAGAGAAAAATTCCGATTGGAATATTACGAGATTAAAACAAACTTATTTTAGATTACATTTATGTTTTCCATCTACGTGTACGAATTACAGTTTCCATTTATCAAGGTAATCTTTGTGTCCATAATCTCGACTCACGATACATTTTCTGATAATCCGGGTTTTACTGAAGTTACACGCAATCTGATGGGGCTCTTAGATGCGCCCACACAGCGAGGAAGGCATTACTGACGTCACGGGCACCACATCAGTTGGCGGCTGAAACACTAAACACTGGGTGGAGTTAACTGATACTTTCGATTATGCGTGTCAGTCCAACACCCACAGACCGCGGTTACATGAGATTCTTAAGATCAGAAATAAACTTTCTTAAGGCGTGCGTGGTAGCAATAACAAGTGCATGAAGAGAAATCGAATAAGCCATTAATCTCGACCCCCAGCCACTACAAGGGGCTTCATCTCTGACCCAGCACTTGGCCGGCCTCGCCAACAAAGGTGGCACTTATCGGCACACGTAATTACACGACTGCACCTCTCTTCCTTAAATGCGGTCCAGCGTCTTGTCAAAAATGGTTGACCTCAAAACTGAGCCACGTAATAAATATCCTCCGATAATTCATGGAGCCGAGTCATTCCTCAGAAGCCAACGGTCGCTCAGCCACTCCAGAAATTCCCAACATTTTATGGAACCCGGAAGTTCATTACCCCATTCACAAGATCCCGCCACTGGTCCCTACCCTCGAGCCAGATGAATCCAGTCCATACCACCCCATCCTATTTCTCCAAGATCAATTTTAATATTATCCTCCCACGTAGTCTAGGTCTTCCTAGTGGTCTCTTTCCTTCTGGTTTGCCCACCAGAACCCTGCATGCATTTCTTTTCTCTCCCATTCGGGCTACATGCCCTGCCCATCTCGTCCTCCTCGACTCGAACAGTCTAATTATATATCATTACGCACCTTTCTCCAGCCTCCTAGCAATTCACCCCTTTTAGGTCCAAATATCCTCCTCATCACCCATTTTTCATTCCTTACGAGTCGGTAGTTTGAAGTGGCTTCAGGAGTTGAGTGAACCTTAAGGCCACGAGTCGTTATATTAACCGCAGAAGTCGATAAAGTCGTAAAACGATTGAAAAAATAAATAAACTTCACAATTCTACCCTCAACCTCTGGAAGTTAAACGCGCTGTTTAAATGGAACAATTCCGGGGTCTAAGCAAGGACGGCGAGGTTCAGGCTGAATATCCCGGAAACCTCGTCATCCCTTGTTCCAGAGAGCCACAAGATTTCTCAACATGAACGAAACGTGTCCATAAAGCAGCAACCCCTTCTTTTTTATACATGTTTCGTGAAAACTCATCGAGCGAGAAGGCGGCGTGGGAGGGATGACGTATAGGGTAGTTTGTTCACCACGATCTCTCTAGTCTACCCTTCCAGGCGCAATGAAGAGATCACGTGACCTGGTGTAGACTATCGACCACTGTCATGTGACAGGCGTTGCTACGGGCGACGCGCAGTGGAGGGGCGGAGGAGCGGTTTGGGCTGGGTTTTTGGGTTTCACCCCCGAGACTTGTGTCCGAGCCAGTTCCAGCAACACCGGAGGGGCACGAGACCCCAAGTCGTGTGGTGAAGTGAGAGCTTCCCGTCCGAAGTCATCAGTTCGACACCAATGTTCCGCGAAAAGCAGGCGTTTGTCGCAGTGACGTCACAACACAACTATATATGAATGTACGCTTTAGGAAATAACGTTTGAATAGACCAAGTATCAGTTGTTGGTTTTTTAAGCGGAGGTGCGAATTTTTGAATAAAAGTGAAACTGTCTTATATTGATTTTTTTTGGGGCGGCAGTCTTCACCCCCGCCCCCAAAGTCGCGTGATCGAACGCAGTCGCCATACTGATTCATGTTACAAACTTGAAATGTTTTAGGTTACTGTAGAGAGAGAGAGAGAGAGAGGACCATTGCACTGATAAGCAGAGGCCCGCGTGTTTACTGTTAGGCTTCGCATGACATGAAGTGATCTAGGCGAGGCATTCGCATTCAAAAAATAGAAAACAAGGGGGGAAGCGACAGGAAACAGGACTGTGGTGCACCTAGAACAGTGCGTGACGTCATACAGGTCCTTGTATAACAGCAGAATGTAGGAATGTAACAAATTTCAACTCAATCCGGTTTTATATTTTGAAAAGAATCGCAGTCCAATTTCCGGGTGCTAACGTTTACGGATTTGCGACTGTGATTTTTCAAAGAAGGTGCATGCATTGAATCTGTTCTCTCCACGTCGCGGTCGATTTGTGGAAACTGAAGCCATAACGAATGTCTGAAAGCGAGAAGAAGTGTCGTCCCCTGCTGGCCGCCATATTGATTCTACAAATATCAGGTTAGTCGCCAACAGCACAGTATTTTATAGAACGTAGAAGGTAAACTGCGATGGGAACGAATTTCAAAGTGCCACTTGCTCAAAGAAAAACTTTGAGTGAATAAGACAAGGCTTAATGTCACAGGAACGAAAATAATACAAAGGGCTGGACTGTAGGTACCGGTTTACCTCTCGGTAAATAATTTCTACTATAAATGTTGTTGGTTTTGGAAAAGAGAGAAGAAACATCAAACTGAGCGATTTTGCTTTCCAATATTCCATACCAATAAGCAGGAGCCTGAAAGTCACATCTCTTAGGACATCCGGGCACTGAGGGAGAACACACCATCGGCCGCCGCACTCGTGTTCCCACTAAGACGACGTCTCTAATGCCTTAGACGAGACAGGGGGTCCATCGTGCCGGCACCGTGGTTCTCTTGAAGGTGCTGTGCCAAGTGGTGGCAGCGACGTACTGCGGCGGTAAAATGGGAACGGTGTTGAGCTTCAGCCCTCGCGAGAGGCGCCCTGTCTACACCAGCAACAGCGGTGGTGAGTTCACGCTCAACAACTTCAGCTACGAGCAACTTAACAACGCCAAGAACCGCGAGAACAAGGGCGTCACGGCGGCAGTCGGCGTCGCCAACAACACGACCAACCCTAACAACCACCACAACGCCACAAACAACCACAACAACATCAACAACAACAACGAGAATGCCAGAATCATCTCTGAGAAAAATGCGCTTGAGAAGAACTTCAAGAAGCATTCGCTGTTCATCAACACGCTCAGCTGGAAGCGATTCTCGACGACAAACAACAACAAAAAGAAGTTGGACAACAAGAACAAGAACCTGTCGGTCTTCCGACAGCCGCTGGTGGACAACATCCACCCGCTTGTGGTGGACAAGAACAAAAACATCCAGAAGGCGGCGGCCATCTCCTGCTACTACCCAACCGCCAACAAGTCCTCGGCATCCTCCACAACCATCAGCACCAGCACCACGACGACGACGACGACGTCGGGTACGACCGCGGCCTCAGGCAGCCTCGACATCGTCCGCGCCAACAACGCCAACAACAACACGAACCAGCAGTGCGACAAACTGGCGCCCAAGGCGGCGTTGCTGCCGAACCTGGCAGTGAGTCAGCAACAAGCACAGCCTCAGCACGGCCCGCCTAAGAAGACGGTGATCCACGCATCGACGTCAGAGCTGCTCAAGTGTCTGGGGATCTACCTGCACTCCAAGTGCTACCGCCTCAAGGACTTCCAGGCCGGCGACGCCGTCATGTGGCTACGGACCGTGGACAGGAGTCTGCTGTTGCAAGGTTGGCAGGTGAGCACCTCCATCACGGGTCTTTGCTGCCCGGCTTGGAAACACATTCCCTCCCCTCTTCTTATAGAAACCTCATGTCCGTCACGGCACTAGATTCTAACGTGAGCCAGATAAATCCAATTCACTTCATCTGGTATACAATCCATTTTAATATTATCGTCCCATCCAAGTCCACGTCTCACAAACGGTCTCATCTCTTCACATTCTCCCAATTCTCGGTCTTCTTATCCACCCCAAAGCACAAAAACAACTCATTTTGCAATTATCTCCAGCCTCCTGCCCCGTCACCCCCCCCCCTCAACCTCTGTTCTTCACTTAATATGAGGGACCAAATTTTATACCTTAAAAATGACAACGTAAAATTATAGTTTATTTACATATTACCTCAATCTTTGCGTTTTCAGACAGAATAAACTGCATGCGTTCTCCTATTTCAAACTGCTCTTAATTTGACAGTAAACAAATTTCGATTTCTTATCAATCCATTTAAACTTTGCCATACTGCCAAGGGAGTTATTGGCTAATCTTCTGCTGGCCGGACATCAACGCAATGCACGACGAACTTATTTATTAACCACGTCCACACCAAACTGTAAGTAGGCCTACTTGCATTATCAGTTACATTACATCCATTTCACACTTCAAACCTCCATTCTGTAAAAGCGTGTTAAATAATGATGGCTCCCAGACCTTTTAATCATGCGATCTTTAAACTAAAATGTAGTGTGCTTTCTGTCAGGAATTTCCACAACGAAAAAGCATAATCCGAGGAAATACGTCAGCTCTTATTACTCCGGTGTTTGGCATTTGACAAAATGCCAGTCTCACACGTCACAGCGCGCATTAAACCACGATCTGTGAGGTATCGCGAGTCCGCTAGTCAAGACCCTTTAGTAATCAGGAGCGCAAATTTCACACCCACGCAAATAAGTGGGTAGAGTAATCGTTTAGATACAGTGATTTTTAATATTTAATCAATACCTTCCGACATACAATTACAGAATCGATATTTATACGAATGACAATTTACATTTATAGATTTCGCCCGCGAGACACAAAATAAGCCGCTCGTGCCGACATACAATTCTGAGCGACAAAACCTCCGCAAACACCAATTTCGGCTGCCATTACAAGATGCCACGCCCTCAGACGAAAGGCAAGAAAATTCAGAAAACTCAGATCCTCCCACTGGGAACGACGTCAGAGCAGAATCAGTCGCAGGGTCAGGGGCTACTCCCACCCACACCATGGCTGATCTCCGAATGTCACTGAAAGACCTTCAGGTTTACTTACGTTTCGGACGCAATGGCAACGCGCAGCCACTATTAATATTATCCCATCTATTCACCACTTTACTTCTATGTACCTAAGACAAACCTTGCCCCTGAGGTACGTAGTGCAGCAACTATTTATTTATTTATATATATTTATTATTATTATATGTGGATAAAGAATCCCAGCAATCCACATTGTATTACATAGTTAAAATCCTCCAGAATCGATAAACTTTCTCAACATATTTATTTTAATTTGTCCTGAATACCCAGAGATAAATGCGGTATATTAAAATATGTGAAGCGATTATAATAGTACGAAATCTACTTAGACTGATCAAAACATGGCTTCACGTCAAGTTGGGTTCATAAAAACTTCAACTAACGCGTTCATTACTTGGTTCTGAGGCGCCCAGTGACGAGCGTGTTGCATCAGTGAGCAATTATAGAACCTATTCATTACACGACTTACTTTAACGACATCCAGCCAAGACACTTCACGGCGCAATAGACCAACAGACATTTCTATTCACATGGACGTGAAAAGCAAAAATCCTACATCTTACAATTATTTAATTAATTAATTAGTTGTCTTTCCACATACAAACAAAAAAAAATCTTAATTTCCTTCACGGCGCTGCTTCGTAATTGACAGGTCCCCGGTTCGAAACTAGGCAAAGAGACGAGCTATTTTGACTAAAGCGTTTCGCGGTATTCCTCAGTCCCTTCTGGTAAATGTTGGGATACTGCCTTCAAACAGGCCACGACCGACTATCCACAGTGCACAACAACGCTGTTTTATGATTCACTGCAGTGTTCCGTAGTTCGTAAAAACGTCAGCTGATTTTTCTTTAATTTTTGCCATCTCTAGGCTTACTGTTTCGCTTTCAATAATTCACAGAGACGCATCTGCATAGTGGGCAGGCTCCGCGAATTAATTCATTTGCGTTGTTTTTATTATGAACGTGGGCATGACACAGGGGGGGGGCTGCAGCGGCTGATACGTCATGTGGGAGGGCGTCGCCATGGCGACGAATGGCGTCCATCATTACTGGTCCCTGTTAAGAAAATCTAAAAAAAAAGGCTACAGATGACGCACACCCATAAAAATGTTCATTTATCAGTCGACGGAAAACAAGTCCTCACTTGTCCTACGAAATACTTCACATCTGAACATAAGGACGCGTGTTTACCCGCCTCTTTGTTGTGCTGAGTCATGTCGAGCGTGAAAACAGTCTACAGACGGTCTGCAAATAGAACCTAATCACACCGTGATTGCGCTATATTAGGCGAGGAATCCCTACATCTGCGATAGTACGAAGTACGATGACGTCACCGGAATGATCCACGATTAAGATCGCTCCCAGGACTTGGCGATGCGGCTTTAAAATCATTTGGAAGGTTCTTAACTAAATAAACAAACAGCACATACGCCTGTTATCTGATAACCATTTATGTAATGTCATATTCCGTGCAATTATAATTCCACTGGGCGTTAAATGTCGCTCATATACAGGCTTTTCGAATGCAATTACATCGATTTTAGTGAGTTAGGACCCAGAAATGCGTACTTGTTACAAGTTACCACGACAACCGATACCCTCTACCATCTAAGCCTCAAAATCCTCTTACTTTTTAAAAGAGTCGTATAAAGCTGATCGTGAGAGTTGGTATTTATCTCCAGTTACACCTTCCTCGGTGTGTCAGTCTCTGCAACGCGGACCGTGTCATGAGAACATGGCGGGTTACCAACAGAACGGGAGTCAGCGGCTACTCAGTAATCCGGTTTCGTCCTTCCGGTAATCAACGTGAAATCTGACGCACGAAGAAGTGAATTAATGAAGTCTCCTTCATGACTGGAGTAAATACGGACGAAGCTCGCAACTCTGTTCGCAGTTCCTCATTTCAATACGTTAGGCGCCTCGGTTGTTTTTGTTGATGCTTCATTGCTCATCCCGGTTACACAATCGGAGGCTTGTCAATCAATCATTGAAAATTATCCATCTCCGTTACTCCAGGGTACACCACTGCAAAATAACTCGTTAAAAGCGGCCGGCGTTTACGACAAACTTCAGTGTCAATAAACCAAAATATATGAGGACGTTTTCGGGGATTAAGTACCTACTCAACTCAAGTATTTTTTTCGGAAATTAAGTACCTACTCAACTCAAGTATTTAACTAAGCAATTAAGTGTAATTCATTCGTGCATGGTGTTAAACGCAAACCACGTGCCGGTCAGGCCGCTAACCGAGGAAGGTACAGTCAGGAAATGGGACCTCGTACGATACGATACAGCATCTCCTAGTTCGCTGTGATAACTGGTGGTTAGAAATGCGCAAATCCTTTGTCGCAATCGACGAATCACTGTGAAACGGGTGTTCCTCCTCTCAGACCCCGATGTCTTGTCCGCGTTCTTACCCAGTACATCCGCCGCGGCTTCATTTAAGGTACTACGCCCGCACTTGACCGGAAGTACTGACAAAAGCCGCGCAAATGCTCAGGACAGACAGTCTTCCGGCCGAGATTTCAAGCCTGGACATCCCGATATTGTAGAAAGACAGACAATCCCTAAAATGGAATCGACGAGTAGAGAAACAGTTGTCGTAAAGTGGACAGGGTGGTATAGCAAATATCCGCTGCTCATGTATACGAAAAACCGCGTAATTTTTATCACATGATTAATTTCACTCCAGTAACTTCAAATGCCGAGGGAAACCAAGCCCTGCTGATGACGGCGACCCAAGTTCAATGCCGTGGACATACGAATGAGCGTATCTCATTCCACTCCATTTACCTGCAGGTCCTTACTATGAACAGCGTTCCCGTGAATCCGCTGGAACTAGCCCCCGTCAGTCAATCAACACCCCGGTCTATGAACACGACGTATCAGACCCACATCGAACAAAACCCCGAAGTTTCAGCATCGCAAACACGAGCACGAATGAAAAAAAATGTGTTCCAGTGGCGATCACATAGTTCCTGGTAGAAACTGACAAACATCTCACAGGTTCCTACTGCCTCCATTATCAGGTCAACGAGACTACACAGCACAACGTCACCATATTCGAGAGGCCCTAAAACCTCACCGCTATTTACAAAAACCTTTTGGGGAAATTTTTAATTTTTCGCTGATGTGCTAAATGTTCCTGTGTCCCTATTTAAAAATATATTCCCCAGTATCCAGTTATTTAACAGGACGAACCCCTTGCGTTCTTGGGCCTGCGCTGCATTCAAAGGCGTACACGGCGTAAACGGCCTACATACCACTGACCTGTAATGAATGTGGACAGATGACGTCGCTGTAAAGATTTTCCACATCCTAAAGACGCCCGTCTGGCAGAACCGGAGATGAAGAAAATTTTAAGTAATGTTTCATGTTCCCGAGCGCCAGTCGCCGTGGGGCGAGTGACAAACTTTTGAAACCAAAAACTCGACACCACAGAAATGTCCCATAGGACAAGTAATCTGATGATGATGATGATGATGATGACGGGAAAGGAGTAAAGAATATTATATACGCCCTTGTACTTTTCCTTTAAGACTGATGTTGTCGAGGGCGATTGAATCAAATATAAGAGATGGGCAGGAAATGTAGCGCGAAATTTATTTGCAGAAACCTGACAGGACGAGGCCGTCTGGGAGGACTAGCTCTAGTCTGAATTCACGACAGGATCTTCGTGAACACGGCGGCTTCCTGAAGCAAGGAAGAGCTACTTCTGGTTGGAATACGAACAGGCTTCGTATATTCCAAGTAAAATAAACAGCAAAAATCAAATTCAATAAAAACATCAGATTCATTATTCAAGCCATTGCATCAAACAACTTATATTCAACTGTAACAACCATAACACTTACACGGGACGCCTAAATACAACATAAATTTTTATACACCATTTTCTAGATTATGAGTAACATTTAAAGCGCTCCAGGAGATGAAAACCCAGTTCATTTTATGGTGGATACTGTATTGTTCTGGGAACAGGTTCCATCGAGATATTTGCTCTGATAAATTTTGCAGAGAGATCGATGCACACAATCTACTCCGTCAACATCGAATAGATTTTCCATTTCGGGATAAAGTACGAGTGTGTGCATTGGGAATGGATTAGCCACGAAAAGACGGGAAAACTGAACAGACGCTGTGTGGGAGAAATGGATCTTAACAGACACCCACACACACACGCCAAAAAAAAAAAGAGAGGGCTATGCCACGTAAATTTCTGGCGAAATTGGGGACGCGGTATTCCTGCTATCCGAAATCGTGGTCTTACTCAGCCATTCGACATTTTAAAATAGGCCACGGGGTTTTAGTTAGCATGGTAGTCCTTTGGGGTGCTGGATTCCGTCACAATTAAAGCTTTTATAATAAAAGTTCTATATTTTCCCAGCTTTCGCCATGTAACAGCATTAGCGCAGTCCCATGACCGCGGGTACACAGTATCCGAGAGAATGTCTTGTTGGTCGCGATCACAAATTGAATTACAAGCCTCCACAACAGCGTTCATATCCATAATCTGATTTCGAGTCGTACAACGCTGCCCTGTTAGAATCAATGTCCACGTGATGGGGGAGCAAATCGGGCAGTTTGTTTATGAAAAAGATATTCTGGATGTGCCGCTCGCTGGACCTCGATTCAAAAGTCCAACAAATTCTAATGTTCCGAGGCATGAAGAAATACACCATTTTCCTTCCGGTGAATTACGAGAATATTTAAATGGCTAGCTCTGTCAACACAAAGACGACCTTTAACGTAGTTTGTAACAAACCGCCAGCTGAATCGAATACACACACCAAAACCCTTCCCCTAAGTTCGATTTTAATTGACTTCCGACTTCCATGTCGAAGTCTGTCTTCAAAGTGCCCATTTCTCAGGAAAGGAAACAGCGAAACACGAATTTCCTAAGGCGACTAAAATTAATCCAGCAACCTTCTGAAAAATCTCCTTTCCCCGCCCTGCACCTTCGAACGCGCACTTCAAAGACGACCTCAGTGCATTTATCGACTATCAAGAAAAGCTTAGCAGCATTTTACAAAAGCAGCCGATTCCAAAACATAATTCCAGCAAGAATACCTCACGATACTTCTCTCAAAATGAGAACGAGATCACAGAGCCTCTGCCCCCGCGTCCCTGTCTCTAGACTCCCACCATAATCGATACACTCCGCCATCAGCGGGCCAGACGAGTCCATTCTGAGAACAAAATAAGGGATGGAGGGTTGTGCCATAATCACAAATTGTGACCTGAATAAACTCGGAAATGTGTGCTGATAACGTACAGATGTGTCACGTTAGTCCTCCGCAAGGCCGCATCTAAATTCAGAGACACTAAAAGGATTTTACGACGCCAGTTTAAAGACACCGGAGATTGTGTTGCGGGCCGCATCTGCCCCCTACAGTCAATTTTTATGTTTAGAGCATCGGCGTGTTTTGCTACGGTCCAAATGAGGTCGATGAAATGCCTTATTTTGCTCTCCCTGAGCCGGGTTTATGAACAAGACATTATTATTTGCCGTAATCTGGACGATCAGGTTTTAATTCTCCGGCAGGGACAATTTTTCCCTTCGTCTCCCCATCAAAAACCTCTCTGGTTGCTGATTACGCTACAATAAAACTGGTACCGAAAGTAAAGGAGGCCGGAGCGTGATGTTGCCCACTCATCTTCAAATACCGCCTACGCCAAATTACCTTCACTGCATTGGTTAGGTTAGGTTAGGTTAGGTTAGGTTAAATAACCATGTCCACATGACAAGCACATATCATGAACTTGCTAAGGCTAACAAAATCTAATATCGTCTCGGGTTCGATTCCCGGCGGTGCCCGAATTTATAACTTGTGTTGGGCAAGGCCGTGGTCTAGGCAACACGGAGTTTTCCTCCGTGGCATCCCAACAATTACTCCATTCACACACAGAAGAAGGCAATGGCAAACCACTTCTGGATCATCTGCCAAGAACGTATATGAACAGGTCCCAGTCCGAGAAAAGGATGGAAGGATCCTGTTCATATGGACCTGTCGTCAGACAGAACACTAATAATAAAAAAAAGACTATTACAAGAGAAATTTTCTTACAACAGTTTAGCAATGTAATCTCTAAGAGTCTGGGTTGTAGCGGCCATTTTGTCAAGAACAAACCGTTAAGAGCAGATGTGCTACTGCAGAAGAACGTCGTTCGGAAAAACCTGCCTTGGGAACTGAAATGCATCCCCACTAGTTTGTTGGTTGGTTTATCGCTGTAAACAAGAGGACAGACAAATTTACTTCCGCGGAATGATTCCCAAGCGCTCGCGGTTAGATCGCTGTAGTGCAAGGTAAAACCGTGGCCCGGAGGAAACCGACATCCGGATATCTGACAGATACGAAACGAAATTAAACTAGCCCGACGTCGTTTAGCGACACGTCTCATCGAAACCCGTGCTCTGTGTGTTACAGGACGTGGCGTTCATCAACCCCGCGAACGTGGTATTCGTGTATATGCTGGTGCGAGAGTTGGTCCACGAAGATGACGTGGACTGCGAGCAGGACCTGCAGGCCGTCGTGCTAACCTGCCTCTACCTGTCTTACTCGTACATGGGCAACGAGATTTCGTACCCGCTCAAACCCTTCCTCGTGGAGGACAACAAGGACAAGTTCTGGGACCGCTGTCTGCTCATCGTGAACCGGCTGAGTCACAACATGCTACGCATCAACGCGGAGCCCGGCTATTTCACCGAGATCTTCACGGAGCTGAAGGCGTGCGGAACCAACGCCGGCATTACCACGAGCTGCGTGGGGGCGGCGGGCTCCACGGCAGCTTGACCGCCTTCCTCAACTTTCATCGTCAGACTGACAGTAGCCAAGAGCACCGGCAGTCCCCACTGCAAACAGTATGTTACCACCCTGTGACCGAGGTTCTTCGACAGGCCGACCGGGTGTTACCACTTTGAGACCCGGGCCGGGGAGATACATATTCGTCGCCCCAACAGAATAATTTTGCGTCTGAATATCGTACTGCACGGACATGTAGGTCTTGGTCTGAGATAATAATACGGAACGCTAATTTCTGCGTATAGAAAAATTAAAATCCCCCCCCCCCACCCCGAAATACAAGTGATTACATTTCTCATCTCCACATTTCCGCTGTAAAGGAAATACTCTCCCTCAAAACCTACATTGTCATGATTAAATGGATCTGCAGATTGTGACAATGTACACCCTAATATCCATAAATAATTTGAAAAAAAAAACAACTAAACGGTTGGTTCGTGTATTAAACGACGCTGTATTGGCTGAAAACGTCGTAAGGTGTCAAATGACGTAATAAACTTAAAAGCAGCAAAGTCTGAAGTGGTCGCGGTCAGTTCAAACACAATGTCTTCAAACCCTAATTAATTATCGAGGAAAACCACGACGAGCCTCCGTCTGGACAGAGGGTCAATTTCTACCACCAAGTTGGGCGGATACCACTGATACAGCAGTTAAATTCACTTCTAATTCCATCGCTAGCATTGAGCCACGGTCGGGCTTCAAACCTCTGAAAGAGCAGTATTTTCCAGAGCTGCTGTACCAACATTTTTCCCTTCACGAAGACATCTGATCGGTTTCCAAAGAGCAAAGTAATGTGCAATTACTTGGAGATTAAAAATGTAGCTACTAAGAATTAAGGGTTGTTAACAACCCCCTAAGTACCTTACTTCGTTAAAGCTGCTCAGTCTGTGGGACGTCTTCGATTCGATCTCCAATTCTCGGATCTCATAAAAAATATTTATTTTTTTAGGATCATCTCTCCCGGCTGTCATGTCGCGAACCGACTTGCGTGCAAATATAAAATCCGACTGATAGTTTTTAATTTACTCTGACGAACTAACTAACTAGACGGCTTTGGTTAATTCGGTGATAAAACTCTTGAACAAAACTTACTCAAAATATTAATATACTCTTTGGTCTATATTTTCGCGTCTTTGTGTCTATTCAATGATGAATTATACTTTAAGCAAAGTCATCCCCGACACAACCCTCTGAGTTCACAACACCAAGACATTCACGAACGTAATGTCACAAAAACGAACCACAAGCTTCAGGGGAAAAGGGAAATTAATTTCATACTCGTAAGACTTGAGGTTCTCACAGCGACTCATATGTCGTCTAAGTATTTTTATTATTTTCCAAGAAACCACGAATCTCCAAAAAAAAAAAATCACTTATCCTCTTATTAAGTGGGTCTAAAAGAGTTATCCCACCCGTAGCCAAATGGTCATAAAATGTAATTTTCCATTTCTGTAATCGCCGGCTTCTGTTTACAAAACAGGAAATAATACCAATTTTTTTTCCAATCAGGACGAGAGAATCTCTAGTTGGTTCTGGAGATTCACATCCTGGGATAGGCCAAGTTCGGAACTGTTTCTCAGAACACGTAAACCTTGAATAATTCTCAAAGTAAAGTGCCAACAAGCTTCTCTGTAGACAAACCGAGCAGTGAGTTTTCTATCCGATATACAAACACTCCATTTCTACAAGGCATTTTATCGTGGTTTTCGTAGTTACCCCTTTTACGTCATAAAGCAACACTTCCACTGGTGTCTAACACGCAGATGACTGCCATCGACTTTAGTTGTACATAGCGAATTATTTATTACATTGAGACAAATAAAAAAAGGTAAAATGCACATGTAGCTTAAAAATCACCAGTTTCGTAGGATTAAAATGTCGGTCACAGGGCCAACCAACTCTTACGATATTAAAATAATTCTAGAATAGGACAAAATAGTCACAGACATGCGGTGGTCTTTTAGTGTGAAGTGTGCGTATGGCAAATTGCAGTGTCGCTTTTGTATCAACCGTCATGAAGGAGGCAAAACTCAAGAAAAGAAAATTATAGGCTCGTTAATTATTCATTAACTGTAGGCAATAAAGTTTAGAAAATATTCCAACAGAACAAAGAGTGGCTTTCTATCGGAATCTGTGAAACACGTGGCTGATACTGGAATTTATTCGCACCGGAAGCAAAAATTATCAGAACGTTCGAGGGAAAATGGCAAATCAGGGCAGAGCTCCATATTGTTGCTGTGTCGTGACAATAAAACAAAAACGAAAACTCGCGATTTGTTCTTTTTCTGCACCAACAGATGGGAAATGATTTTCCTCGCAGCTTCCAAGCAGCCAAAAAATATATAAAAATATATAAAAAAAATAAAAAATATATTACAACTTCGCATGCAGAGGTGCGTCCTGTCATGTGATAATGTGTGTGTGGGCCGGATTCGTGCAATACTGTGTTGACATTGTTGTATAATTAATTTGTTTGTATATTGCCAATTGTTTTTCAGTTGATGTCTTGTAGGTCAGGTGGGAAGATGTGAGTGTTACGTGATAGCATTGTTATTAATCTAGTCTTTGTGTTTTTGCATCCACAGAACATTTATTTATTTATTTATTTAATTTTAAAAAAATATTAACAACGGACTTCAATTGTGAAAATGCTGTAGGCAAAGCTGATCGACTCATCACGCTAGCGTACAAATAACATAGCAAGCGTGCACTGAGGTCTCTACTTACGTCCACATATCCATTTCGTAGGGCAAGCATCAAAAATGTTAATATACTGAGCCCCAGTCCGCTAAGTTCAGTCAATTAGTTATTTTAGGTCTAAAGAAATCTATTGTCAGGGGCACCAGAATGAGAGAGAGAGACATGGACAATTAAACTGGTATAACAAAGCCATCACAATATTAAAAAAAAATACTCTAAACGAAACTGCCTGTTATTTGTCGAGGGCGCGGGATATATCAAAATATCAAACTGCGATTCCGGGGCTAGAAGTTTTAATCTACGACTGTTAATCCATTAACAAAGTGTGCGTACTCACCGGTAAGATGTCTTCGTCGCCAGCGTGGTGGGCCGATCAGACTTCAGCACCTGCGACAGTTAGAATTAAGGTTAGAATTTAAAAACAAAATAATAATAAAGAGAATTACATGAAAAAGTGTGATAGCTTTTAAAGTATTCACTATTTTATGTGTACGGTTACTAGGCAATCATTGTTAAGTGGATGGTGGGAGTTCTAAACACACTGTATACGCTGTTGTCTCTCGTGCTTCGGACATTTCTGCCACCTCAGAATGTTAAACTTGAATTATACTGAACATGCTTTGTTATTACCCTAACTATAGGTATTTTTAAGTTTCTTCTCAAGAAGCCGTTTCATTCCGTTTCTGCAATGCAGATGAATTGATATAAAAATTGTACGCTGTTGATGACCATGTACTTACATAATATTACATTTTGTATTTCGGCTCTACATTATAATGAAAAATGTGCAGCGAGGAAGGAACTAAAGGCATGCTCAACTTGTTAAGAATAGTGTGTGGATAAATATGGGAGAAAAGTGAACAATTACTGTAAACTGTAGAACGTATCAATACAACATAAAAATTGAGAGTGTGCCTATCTGTACCGCCAACTGGCTTCCCTTAAAACAATAATATTCAAAAGTCAACTCCCTCT